ATTTGCAAAGTTCGTACAAAATTGGTTGATCCGTTTTTGTTCTATAGGGTAAATTATTTTCTGTTAAAACTTGTATGGGGACAAGAAGTAGTGGACCGACATTGCCGATCTCCGAACTTAATCTTTTAAAATATTACGATGTACCAAGTTTGAAGCAAATTTGGTACACCCTTCGAGAGTTATCATGCGCACCATACAGACAGACGGACACTTCTAGATCTACTCCAAATATCTTAAAACGACCGTTATTCCGATGAACAACGTTTTGGTCGTATCAAATTATATATACCCCCTGTAGCCATATGGCTGAGGGTATAAAAATCAAAGAACCATGCTATGACTTTGAAGCATTTTTTATACCCTCCACCATAGTATGGAGGGTATATTAAGTTTGTCATTCCGTATGTAACACTTTGAAATATACATTTTAGACCCCACAAAGTATATATATTCTTGATCAGCATAAAATTCTATGTCGATTTAGCGATGTCCGAAATTAGGTAGGTTGATAGTATTTTACTCAAATGTATATGATGTATGCAGGACTTTTGGTATTGAAAATGGGCTATGTAGGTCCACGTTTTGGTATAGCCCTCATATAACGATACCTCCCGATAATCGGTATTTTGATGATTTTAGCAACATTATTCGCCGGAATTGTTTCAAATTTGGCATTTGAAGTTGGTAATGGATACTACAGCCTAAGACAGAAAATTGTCTGTGCATGTCCACGTTTTGGTATAGCCTCCATATAATGGTACCTCCCGATATTCGGTATTTCGATGATTTTAGCGACAGTATTCACCGGAATTGTTTTAAATTTGGTATTTGAAGTTTGATATGGATACTACAGCCTATGACATTATCTGTGAAGGTCCACGTCTTCATATAGCTCTCATATAACTGTACCCCCAACATTCTGTATTTTGATGATTTAAGCGACATTACTTAACGGACTTCTTTCAAATGTGGTATTTGAAGTTCGTAATAGATACTACAGCCTATGACAGAAATCTATACGTCGTCGTATAGATTCTAATATAACGGCTACATTTGGCATTTTTAAGATTTTAACGGATTTTTTTTTTGAACATTGTTCCAAATGGTGGAGGGTATTCAAAGTTCGTCCGGCCAAACTTAAAGTTTTTTAATTGCTTGTTCTCTCAATGCTCTTAATGTCAAGATGTATGATACAATTTTCAAACCCCTTTGAAAATTACGAACGATGGACGTACATGATTTAAATCAATTAGAATTTCACACCGATCAAACAAACGTTGAGTCACATGCGGAATGACACGTTATATCCACATTTGCGTATGAATAGGGGTGGAGGGGATTTTAAAAATAGATCGACTTCGTCCTAAATTACCATTTGGACTTTTATCGCGATAAAGACAAGTCATTGTTATTTCCATAGAAACCTATCGAATAGTTTTCGATATCTTGGCTTTCATTCTGTGGTGGTTTACGGCATTTGACGTGCCAACAATTAGTTTTCAAAACTAAAGACAGCATTATTGTCACTATGGCAGCTGTGATTTAGTGTCCCAACTGATAACCCCCTAACTGGCGGAAGTCATTAGAAAAAAACTACATAAGAATGTTTGCGAGAATTCATTGGAATCCACAAAAAAAAAATGAAGAAGGAATGACAAACTTTTGGGGTTGGTTAGATTCAACACACGTGTTCTGCGAAATAAAAATTATGATTAGAGAATTTCTGCTCAGAACATTATGAATAAACAAAATTGGAATTGTGTGAATGATATAGTCAACGGAGGCGTCGTCTATCAGATCAGATGTAGTTTGGCAACATTTATTGCCTCTATTACAAGTTTCTCGAAAGAGTGTGTTATTTTCTGTTCTCCAACGCCACAACTAAAATAAAAATGCCATAAAATAGAATGTTGTAAACATTTGTGAATAATTCATTGTAAATTTCCCACTTCTCCATAGCAGCTATGTGTGAAATGCTGATGCGTATTTTTTGCTCAATCAATGCTATTTTTCTGTTTACCGCTGCTTAATCTACCAAAAAAAGCTCATTACATTTTAACATTTTGCTTTAGTTAATGGCCATCCGGCCGGTTGTTCGACCGAGTAGACGACCTCCCCAATTATTAAACTGGTATCTTTTTGGCAAAAATTTACGCAAGATTTTAATGACCGACGACGATGCGATGAACCTGAGCAAAGTTAAAAATAATACGTACAGGCTAATGTACACAGGTTTCCATAATAAAAATATGACTTATATTGAAATTAAAATAATTCACATTTTTGTTTGTGTCTTAATTTAGTTTTTTTTTTCGTTTTAATTCATTTTATTAATGTTTGTTTCTAAGAAAAATGTTATCTGATCTCATAAAAAATAGACAATTACAAAAGCCGGCCACATACATTTTTAATGTCTTGTTGTTGTGTAACGAACTTGTGTTATGCCCTACGTAATTGTAAGATGAGGCTATTATACATGCCAGGGACGTAGGCAGAAATCATTTCGGGAGGGGGTGGGGGAAGCAACAACATTTTCTAAGCAAAAAGTAGAAAAATTATCAGAATAGTAAGGATTTCTGAGAGGGTCTAATGTACGAAGCCGTTGGTTTTTTGGAAATTCATATTAAAAGTGTACGAAAAGTACTAAAAATTTACTACTTTGTATTCGACAAACGGAATGAGCTAGAATTATGAAATCAGGAATCAGAGTCACTGATAGAGTGCAGGATTGATGCATCAAAAGGGTTTTTGGAAATTCGTACTAAAAGGGTACGAAAAGTTCTAATAAAATGGTACTAAACTTCTAAAATGGAATTTTAAACAGTTTGGTTTAGGGTGAACTGATTATGCTAGATTTTCGAAATTTTGTATTGGGTAGTTTTGTGATAAAGAGATGGTTTTGGAAATGTGTACTACAAGTGCACGAAAAGTACTAAATAGTACTATATTTGTACAATATGGTACAGATAATGCTTGAAATCTGAAATAATGGTTTTAGGGTCATTGTTCATATGTAGCCTGGACATATGGAGGTGGTTTAGGAAATGTGTACTATAGTTGAACGAAAAGTACTAAATGGTAGTAAATTTGGCCTTGGTTGAAGGGATTGAAATGAAATTTGATATTTAGATTACTGATGGCACCTATATTTGAGAAGTGGTTTCGGAGATGTGTATAATACACACAACTGTACAAAAAGTACCAAATAGTAATTAAATTGATATTGGATGAAGGAGTAGAGATACAATTCTGAAATTTGATATTTAGATTACTGTTGGCCGCTGTGATTGAGATCTGACGGTCGTTTGGAAATGCGTCCTATATTTGCACAAAAAGTACTAATCTAAACTGATTTGGGTATGTGGTGAAGGGATACAGGGTGAGATGAAAAAACTGCAACCAACTTCAGACTGCTGTCATATCTAAGCCACTCGTCCGACAGCTGTTAAAATTATTCCAGTGACTGCTCATTATACTGTTTACAAGCGTACAAAAGCATTTTGGTGCGAATTTTCTAGAAAAAAAGTTATTCGTGATGAAATTCAAGCGTGATAGTGTGATTTCTTTATATTTGACTGGAAAACCACAAGTGGCTATCGTTAGAGCAGTCCAGCATTTAAATGTGAATAAATCTTTTTTGTCTCGTACCATCGCTCGTTGCCGTGATACTGGTAGCGTAGCCCGACGTCAAGGAAGTGGACGGAAGAAAACAGCAACATCAGCAGAAATGGTTCCAAAAGTAAAGAAGCGACTTGATCGAAACCCGCGTCGCAGTGGCCGAAAAATGTCTCGTGAGCTGAACATATCGTAAAATTCCATTCGGCAGATATTGAAAAATGAGCTCGGGGTAAAACCATCGAAATTTCAAAAAGTGCAAAAACTTACACCGCAACAGAAAGAAAATAAATTAAAAGAGCTTGGCCGAAAGTGGTGAACTACCGAATTTGGTTTTCCCCGATGAGAAAACATTCGTTGTCCAGCAGTTTGTAAACAAACAAAATGATCGTGTTCAAATGCCAAAGAGGTCAGCGGAAAATATACACCTTCGGTTGGCCACCAGAACTCAAGCGCCGGCCATGGTGATGGTGTGGACCGCCATAAGAGCCGATGGTCGTTCTCCGCTCGTATTAATCGACCGTGGCATCAGAATAAATGCCGAATATTATCGAGAAAATATTCTGAAGGGTGTATTAAAGCCTTGGGCACGCAAACATTTTGGCCGCAGATCTTGGACATTCCAACAGGACTCAGCACCATCGCACTCAGCACGCGCCACCCAAGAATGGTTACAAAATGAGGTTCCTCGTTTCATTTCCAGCGCACAATGGCCACCAAAATCTCCGGATCCCAATCCGTTGGACTATTGTGTGTAGAGTAGTTTGGAAAGCAAGATTGCCACCAAAAAATACCAAAGTGTCGATCACATCAAGAAAGCGCTTCGCCGGGAATGGGCCGAAATACCGTAGAGCAACATTTGGGCAGCATGTGATGGTTTCATTGACCGTTTGAAGGCCATAATTCGTGTCAAAGGTGACCAAATCAAACAAATCTAAACATATTCTAAAATTTGATGTTATTTCCGACATTTTTTGCTTTCATTCAATAAAATTTAAAAAAATGTAAAAATTAGGGCGTTTGATTTTGTTGCAGTTTTTTTATCTCACCCTGTATAAACCTTGAAAATCTGAAAATTTAGAACGATGCATGAAGTTTTGATTAAAAAATTTTGTCAAACTGAAAAAGTTGTGTATTTTGATTACAAAACACGAACGTTGGAACGAATCTAAAATTTGGTATCTCGCCTGACGAAGTAACTGGCACTTGCTAGTTATGTATATTGAAGACATGTAGTTTATAAATTTTCCTTACCTATATAAGTATTTTATATAAATTTCCACAAAAAACACACACGGGCCGAACTTGAAACACTGTTAACCATAATTTCAGTGTCAAATGATTCGAAAAATATTAATCAATCTTATTTATTTTATTATTTTCAGGTTGCCTGTACGAATTGGAAACGTGTCTTGATGCTACTTAAAGGTATCTGGCAAAATGGTACCGATCCCCTGCGCATACCCGGTTCGTTGGCACACTCAGATGGCATCTTTACGAAATTCAATAGCCTAGATGAAGAGGAACGACAAAAGGTGATGTCCGAATACACTCGTTTCATATTTGTACGGCACCCCTTCGAAAGAATATTGTCTGCCTATCGCAATAAATTGGAGGGTAATGCACCGAGTACTAAATATTTTCAACATCGCATTGGTCGGCAAATTGTCCGAGGAATACGTGTCGATCCGAGCAATCATTCGCTGGAATATGGTGATGATGTTTCATTTGGAGAATTTGTACAGTACCTTCTAACGCCCTCCTTGAGTCTGAACAATCAATCGACCTATAATGAGCACTGGGAGCCTATATCGAGATTATGTAATCCATGTGTTATGAAATATAATGTCATTGGTAAGTGTGGAATGACAATTCGAAAAATAAAGGTAGAGAAAATAAATAATATATTATTTATTTTTTTTCAGGAAAATATGAAACCCTTTTGGATGATTCTGCCTTGGCTCTCTACTTAACCGGTGCTGAAAATGTCACATTTCCCTCCGGCCACAAACCTTCGAATACTCGTTCCTATTTGCGTAAATACTTTGATCCTTTACCGATCAGTGCCATTCGGCATTTGTATGAAATCTATGCGGATGATTTTAAACTTTTCGACTATGGTTTAGATGATGTTTTAGGTTTTGAATTTGGTTAAAATTGAACATTGTTGTTTTAGTGTTAAGTAGGAAGATTATTACATACTTATAGTAATATTACTGCGATCTAATAGAACAAAGGTGTAATTACGTAAGCAATTTAAATTACACGGTGCTACTAGATTGAAACATTGCAAAGTCAACCACAAAAAGTTGATTTAGGATGACTTTAATAAGATTATCATGCTTTTAGCACCGTATTCTATCTAATTCCCAAAAATAGCTTTAATCGTATATTTTTAAGAATACATTTGTTTTTCTTTCCTATCATGTTTCTTGTAAGTATATTATACACAATTCTATGGTTTAAAGATAGACATAATATTATAGTACGATTTATATTTATACAGGGTAGCTCATTAAATTCGAATTTTTGTATAGAAAACCATTCACATTTTCATCTAAAATAATGAACAAAAAAAATCAAAACAATTAACACTTTCATAACTTCGATAATACAATCTATATGTAAATTTACAAACCTTTTAGAACCCTTACAAATGCTCTCTCTGTAAACTTAAATTGTTTTCACAGCATTTAGTTTAAATATAAACCAATGTTGTTTTTTATTTTATTATATATATGATTTAAACAATTATGAAATGTTTTAATTATGAAATGTTTATTAAGATATTTTTAATTAAAAGAAATATTTTGATATGAGCAAAGACAATTAGTTTTTTTTATTATGGAAACACGTAAAAAAGCAGTAAGTTCAGCCGTGCCGAACTTTGAATATCCTTCACCATTTAAAACGAATTTGGAAGAGTTTCAAACAAATAAAATCCATTAAAAATTTTGTTAAAATATTAAAAATGCCGATTATAGCCGCTATATTGGAGTCTGTACGAAGACGTCGACCTGCGTAGGCAATTTTTGTCATAAGCCATTACAATTCAAATACGAAATTTGAAAAATTCTGTTAATATATCAAAATGTATAGGAATATAGGAAGGTATCGTTATATCGGGGCTATATGAAGACCTGGACCTGCTTAGACAACTTCTCTCACAGGCTGTAGTGCCTATTAGGAACTTCAAATACGAAATTGCAAACAACTTCGGTGAATATAAGGAGGTACTGATTATGGGCCCTATATGAAGACATGAACCTAAATACGAAATTTGAAACAACTTCGGTGAATTATGTCGCTAAAACAATCAAAATACCGAATATTGGGAGGTACCGTGGTAGGTGGGCTATTCAATATCGTGAACCTATATAGATATTTCTCTTGCTGGGGATAAAGTATTTAGAAAGACCTTCTTTTTAGACAATTCCATTGAAAATTTTAGCTAAAATCATCAAAATAGGAGGTACCACTATATGGGGGATTTACGATATCATGGAACTAAATAGACAAAACTCTTCCAGGGGGTAAAGTACTCCTTTTGTGGATTTTCAGAGAATTGTTTAGAAAAATTTAGCTACAATGATCAAAATACCCATCTTCAAACTTGACCTGCTTGCAGACAAATGATTGATCTTCCCTAGCTTCATATCTTTATTCACTCCACAGACGGACGGACGGGGCTAAACCGTCTTAGTTTACAACTTTCCTATAACAGCTCTGTGCAATTCAGAATTTTCCATAGCTTCCCTACCGCTAACCCCACTTTGGTCAGAATATCGGTAAAATTCGATTTTCTGAAATCATTTGGGAATATTAAGCATATATATTTAGAAAGTACTCCTCGAGACCTTTCATTTGATTTTTGTGAAATTCAGCATTTTCCATGAAGTTTCCTTACCGCCAACCCCTTGCTGGTTATTCGTCCTCATCCGGAAATTGTGTAATTTTCCTGTTAAATTAATTTAGGAGAATTGGTTTTATCTTAATATTTGTTTAAAATACGTTCAATTATCAAAAATTGGAAAAAGTAGTTAATATTAAGTAAAAACTATTTTTCAATTAACCCCTTGTGCACCAACACAAAATTCATGTGATTTGTGTCTTTGCTATTATATTTTAAAATTTATCTTCATCATGTTTAGGGAATTAAAAGTTTATATGAAAGATTGTTAATATCCAAAATTATTTGTAACTAAAGCCGCACTATTTATAAATTCTCAACACCTTTTTCTCTCGTTTTTTAACATTAGGAGGTATTCCGAAACAAAAATATCCAAAATACTAGAATTCTATGATGAGTGTTATTCAAATTCAAAATGCATAATATAGTTCAAATACCTGTGAAATCGCGAGTTACTTTGCTTAAACTTTATACGTTAAAAAATCTTTTTTTGGGTGGCTTAATATTTTCGGTCCTAAATTAATAGATCACAAAAAATCTAAACATTTAAAATGACTTACCATTTTCATCACAGCGTCATTTCGTTATATGTAATAATCCAACTTTATAACGATTTTTCAATAGAGATTATTTCTCAGCAAAATTGCATATTAAAATTTTAAGTTTTACACAACAAAAATTTCACTTTTGACTCGTAACTCGAAGAACACCAACATTTTTAACACAATTCAAACATTTTTTTTTGACAATTATTTTTTTTTTATGAAATGAAAGAAATTTAATTTTTTCACTTTTTAGTGGAACATTTCTTTAAACTTTTAACATATATGACACTGATGATATTAAATCGAATTTTTTATGCCTTTTTCATTTCTTAAAACAATATTTTTTGGAAGTTAGCAATTCTCTTATACGAGCACAATCCGCGACACAACGGGAAAGATACAGATCTAACATTCAATTTTGCCATTACAGCATAGATGCCCAATGTAATAGTATTGGTGAGAGCGACGAAATAACACTGGAAGAAAATATTTTTCTATTCATTTTATTTAGTCGTCAACGAGATAGCGACGAAAGCACATGTGTGGCGGGTGTCGTAATTTTTTGCTTTTTCTGGGAAATGTAAAATTAATGAATGTACAGGGATCGCCGGGTTATACTATTGCGGGACAAAGGTAATTTTTTAATAAAATTAGTGTTAAAATTAAGTTTTTCAAAAACTTGACACAACATATTTTTGACAAACGGCCCATCTGAAAATGGCCTTCCCTTTTTTATTATAATATATAAACTTATTAAGTTAGATAAACCCATTTTTAAATTCTCCTCCACCATATCTTCATCATTACCTCTATATTGATTTACCCATTCCTTCAACTTTTTTATAAAAAGTTTCTTATACATTTTAAATCGTTTTTCTTTTTCTTCCCCCTGCTAACAATTCATGTCTTTATGAACAGTTTCAAAATGTTTTTTTATTATATTTCTTATTTTTTTAAATGTCTTATAACATATAACACATTGCATATCATCAAAAGCATTTTGTAGCATAAAATGCTTTTGAAATGACATCATTGACATATCGCAATAATTTTCAGTTTATGTGTTCACTAACAGCAGTCTCGATTACGATTAAATGTAAATATTACACAGAATTTCTGCCTGTGTAGCTTGTCTCTCCCACTCATATTTCTGCTTTCCTATTGGTTGATTGGCGATCAAACAAAAGAGCGTAAGAATACGTGTGAGTTGAAATTGCTGAAATCAGCCACTACTGGGCATCTATGTATTAAACCTACCAACAGGAAAATGTTAGTCAAGGCATCCGGTTACTGTTAACACACTCATGTAGAATCGGCCAACACTAATAACACACTATTAAGGTAACGAATATGGCATTTTTCAAATTGGATTTTATTCATAAAAACGGTTTACGTTTGTTTTGATGTTTCATTTTATCACATTTGGTTTTTTGTTTAATCGACATTTTTAAACTTTTAAATATTTTGTCAATAAATGTTTCCTTAAAATTCAACAGTTACGATTAACGAACCTCCGGTCATCTTTAAAACTGATGAAGAAGCAAATATGAATAAGAGTGTTGCCAGTACAAAAAGGCGGAAATATATTAAGCGCAACGACTTTTCTGGCAAAAACCGTCTGGCGTCAAGAGGTGTGTTAAATTACCCTAAAATTTGTAGCAAATTTTGAAATTTTTTACTGGAAGTCACTTGGAACTCTTCTTCTTCTTCTTGAGCATTCTTCTTGTTTTTTTTTTTTTTTGTATTGCGATGTTGCAGGTTTGTTTTTTCTTGCTTATTTTTTTTATTTTCAACAAATAAAAAAAATGTTCATATTGATGACACTTCTTGTTAAATTTTTATTACACTTTTCATTTTTGAAATAGAGGCTTTTAAAAGTAATTAGAAAAACTTGCGACCGAATTTGCTTTGGATAATTAAAAGACAATGTCATTGCAGAGAGAAATACTTTGATATACATTTCCTGTGGAAATTACTTTATTGCTATAAAAATCGCGACAACACACACCTTAATACATATATAGAACACCCGATCTCTGTTAACCCGATTATATATGAATAGCTTGTTAAAATAACAAGGAGACAGCATTTTTCTACATTACATTTCTTTGAAATGTAAATTCAATTCACTTTCATTTCATTTTGTGTACTTGAAAATTGACTTATTTATACTTTTTGTATATTTCTCCAATAAAAATTTTCTTAAAATCACACAATTGCTTTATAAAACCACGGCCGACCATCATTAGAATCAATTAACAACTGGAAACAGAAAAAAACTAGGAGTAGCAGTATTGCCAACACTGAAAAAAGCAGTTCGAGCACGACACGATAAAAGAAAATTTTATTGTACATAGAGTCTATGTCATAGACCGACAATTCACGACATAAACATCCGATCACTGTTAACCAGCTTTTCTAAAACCAACCGGCAAACGTACGAGCATTTTGTTGCTTACACGGACCACATTTGCATGGGAAAATCAAAAATGCCTGTAATGCAACATTTAGTAAATACTTTTAATTTACTTTTTACTTATGAAAACTGCACTATTCTAAATTTTTTGGGTATTTTTTGTTGCAAATATTTCTTTGAACTTAAGCATTCACGTGTAGCTAACACTATTTGCGACCGACAACTTTAAAACACGATAGATAACTGATGACAGAAGCAAAGATGAATAAGGAGTTTTGATTGCAGAGAGCAAAATGAGAGCAATTCTCTCAGCTTCATATTTAACGGGCAACAATTGCAATGCATTTTTTTTGCATTGAATTTCGATTGATAACACTTTGTTGCACAATTTTTCACTTCATATGTTAAATATTAACCATTTTTTAACATTTATGTATAAATTTAAAATGCCTTTCTAATTAAATTTCAACATTTGCCTTTAACAAAAACTATTCACGACCGACCGTCTTGAAAATTATGTGAAACTGGAGAAAAGGAGTTAATGAGAATAACAATGTTGTCAATTTGGCGAAGACAATTTTCTAATAATTAAAAAACGCTAAAACAAGAAAAACATTTTTAAAGTGCGAATTAATTTTTAACGAGGAAATCGAATGGTCAACTTAATATAGTGCTGAAATATATCAGTTTGTGAGAATACTACGTTGCCAATATTTTATTCCTTTTGTTTTACGGTATTATCATGGGTAATCGTTAAGAGTAAAAAATTTAAAATCTTTGTATACCTTCTTCATCAGAAAAAATTT